CAGAACGTGTCCCCGTCTGTAGAAGGGCCCACGGCGCAGTGTGCTTACCCTCCACCTGCGCCCCGTGGATGCTCCAACTCACAGGCTGTGGAGACAGGCCACTGAATGCATTCGTAGGTGCGTGTGTGTGCATGTGCGTGTGGAGTCGGGGGTCAGGCAGTATTCAAACCCAGAACGCTTGACTCCAGACGGTGGCCTCTGTTGCTTCACTATGCAAACTGCGGCTCCCCAGGCTCCCTGGGGCTGCTGTGGGGGTGGGGTGGGAGTTGGGGTGTGTTTAGCTCCTAATGTTTATACCTCATTTTGGTTGTCAAGGTTGTAGTCAATTTATTGGACCTCCATAGCCCTGTAAAAGAGAGGCCTTCCTTCTGGAAACGGGACGAGGTTGTTAGGAAGACAGTGTCCCTGGGGCAAGCAGAGCTCCCGTTTGGTTCACCTCTGCTGAGGCGATTTGGACCTTTAAGGCTGCTGAGTGCTAAGTGCAGTGTGTGTATCTGTGTGTGTGTGTGTGTGTAGTTGTTTGAACCGTAATGGCCCCAACTGCAGGTCCTGTCTGATGGGCAGGAAATTGCTCACAGATGGTGACGCCCCTCCCCCACCAGGAACAGATTCTGCCTGGGATGTAGGGGACCACTCCCCTCTGCTGGATGAAGAGAAACTTGCTCTCAATGAAGAAAATTCTGTGAGCATCTCTTTCTAGAGGCCAACCGAGTAAAAGAGGCAACAGTGTTACCTCACTTTACAAATGGGTGTATGAGCAGTCTCTAAAACATTTTATTAAGCACCTACTATGTGCTGGCACAGTGCTAAATGTGAGATATGAAGGTGAACAGGACTTTACTGCAAACCAAATCTTTGTAAAGTGAATCACATTGTCATTGTATGGGACCCCAGAATTTCAAACCCCCAACGGAAATAAACAGGATTTGGGGTAGAGAGCAGTTGGTACTCCAGGAAGACGAAGTTCTAGGTCCATGTGGAAAGCAGGATGTGCTGTCAGAAATAGGGATAGAGAAGTCACGGTAAAGAGGTAGTTTGTGGGGGGAAAATGCATTTAGTTTTACTCATGCTGCTTCTGAGATACCAACAGAATACCCTAAGAGAGATATGCAGAGGGGATGAGGATGGCACTGGAGGCTGGGAGAGGCCAGAGCTGGCAGTGAGGGCCTAAGATCACGCCCTGACGAGTGGCCGCTGAAACAGCAAATGGAACAGCAGGCAAATGGAACCTCTGAGGGCAGCAGCTGGCCAGACTCACTCACGCCCAGTGGTTCAGAGGGTGAGAGAGACAGGCGTCTGAGAACTGGGTGGATTAGTCTCCTCGGGCTAACAAGGCGGCTCATTTTCCGACAGTCTGGAGGCTGGAAGTCCAAGATCTAAGTGTCGGCAGGGTTGGTTTCTTCTGGCTCATAAACACACATACCATTGATTGTCAAATATTCAAAGAAAAGCTCTTCACATTGTATTAAAAAAAGCCCCCACATATTTTTATTGATTTCAGAGAGGAAGGGATAGGAGATAGAAACACTAATGATGAGAATCATTGATCAGCTGCCTCCTGCATGCCCCTTACTGGGGATTGAGCCCACAGCCCGGGTTTATGCCCTTGATCGGAATCAAACCTGGGACCCTTCAGTCTGCAGGCCGATGCTCTTTCCACCTAGCCAAACGGGTTAGGGCCATGTGTTACAGTTTTTGCCAACAAAAACCTCAAGATTTCAAATAAGTATGTATTTCAATTACCTTTTCTCAGAGGGCATTTTAATAGATGGTAATTCTTGAGTCTCTGGGATCTCTGAATATCATTTTATTTTATCTAAAAATGTTTTTATTGATTTCAGAGAGGAAGGATGAGGGAGAGAAACATTAATGATGAGACTCATTGATTGGCTGCCTCTTGCAAGCCCAATACTGGGGATTGAGCCTACAACCGGGCAAGTGCCCTGACTGGTAATCGATCCATGATCTCCTGGTTCATAGGTAAACACTCAACCACTGAGCTATGACAGCAGGGCTCTCTGAATATGACTTTAAATTCAAACTTGTTTAGCAATCCAACACTGCTGTGGAGGGAACAGATTCTTTTATTTATAAAACAGAGACTACGTACTTTAACTGCTAAAAATGAACTGTTTACAGTTACTTAAACTTCAGCTTCTATCGTTTCCTACTAAACAGGGATTTTTTTAAATTTCAAAAACAAACTAATCCTTCTCAGCTCTGGCCACTGGCCTGGTCAGCATTCTGAATGCTTCCTGGTTCAGACAGAGCTAATTCCTCTGGGGACGAGCTTCACCTACTTAATGGGGGACAGGACAGCTTCCGAGGGGAGTGATCTTCTCGTGGTTTACACTCTGCCTGGTCCCCGGACCATCACTTCCAGGACATGCCTAAGGGCGGGAGAGTAGAGTCGGGGGTCTGGGAAGGCTTTTCTTAGAGAGAGCCTGTCCTGATGGGTGACTGAGGTGGTCTTCGGTTACTGGCTGGTGAGTGCACCATCTTCCCTGCAGCGACGGGCTTATCAATGACAAAGTCTCATTTTGAAATTCCTAGTCTGTGGTTTTATTCTCCACAGTCTGGAAGACCATTGTTAAGACTCTAGTGCAATAGTCGCCAAACGGTGATTCTTGGACCACTGGGGTCCGTGAGGTCTGAAAGGTTGGCGACCGCTGGTCTGGAGTGACCCAGATGCAGGGGTAACAGAGGCAGACGTTAGCAGTGCTTTTCAAACTTGAATGTGGTTGTGAATCACCTGGGGATTTCGTTAAAAAGGCAGGTATTGCCCTGGCAGGTGGCGTGGTTGGGTGGGTGCAGGAGTCAAACGGATCCATGTTTCTCTCTCATATCGCTATTTCTCTCCTTCTCTAAGATAAGTGAATCAATAAATCAATAAAAGCCTATCCTCTGGTGAGGATTAAAAAAAAATGCACATATTGACTTAATGGGTCCAGGATGGGGCCTGGTATTTTGCATTTCTAGTGAGCTTCTAGCAGATACCAATGCTGCTCATGCCAAGGACCACTCTTCCCCTGATGCCTTTAAAAAAAAATGTATTTTTATTGATTTCAGAGAGGAAGAGAGAAACATCAATGTTAAGAGAGAATCATTGATCGGCTGCCTCCTGCATACCCCACACTGGAGATTAAGCCCTCAACCCGGGCCTGTGCCCTGACTGGGATCGAACCTGGGACCCTTCAGTCTGCAGGCCGACGCTCTATCCACTGAGCCAAACCAGCTAGGGCTCCCCTGATGTCTTTCCCATTGCTATCTGGGGGCAATGAAGCTAAGCTCCATCGTTTTAGGTGTCCAGTTCTGACCCCCACATTTTCCCATGGATGTCATCTCAGACCAAGACCTTGTGAGGCATCTAAGGGCCAACGTGGGAAGTCCCCCTTCTGGCCGGATGGGGCTATAGTGTCTGTGGGAAGGTGAGGCTGCAAGGAACTGGGGCAAACTAGAGATGCTGTGACCTCCAGGCAGAAGAGGCGGCCTCTCCATCCGGAGTAGGGGTGGGAGGCTGGTCCTTGGAGCTGAAACTCAGCAAACGTCAATGAGGTGTTTGTCTAGGAACATTAGGGCTTAGCGTGTTATTAAGCCTTTTCACTTTCTAATTTCTGCCTTGTAGTAGTCCTGTGTCATCATGGAGGGGCCGAGTCCCTCCTCACAGGGGCTCGCTCACTTCTTTCTCCAGGGACACAGTTTAGGTCCCATGCCTGTGGAGGGACCCACTTCCCGCCTGTCACGGCAGGATCTGGCTTCAGCCTGCGTCCCGCTGTCTTCTATGTCTGGCCCACTGTGATGCTTCCCTTGTTTCTGAGCTGTTATTTCTTCTCGAAGCCTTTCTCTTTAAAACGACTCTTGCTGTGTAGAATGGGAGAATTCCGTGTCATCTGACCCGAGCAAGGGAGGGCTGCGGTTCTGTAAGTGGGTGTTCTGCGCTGCTGTTGTAACGCATGTAAGCAAAGGGTCAGGGCACTGGAAAAACCTGTCCTCTGACTGAGCAGGACCTGGGAGTGGTGTACCGGCTTGCTTTTGCCGTGTTAGGCTACCCACTCGTAGCAAAGGCGAGAATGGGAAGCGACTTGGGGGAATCCGGCCTGCCTCAGAGCGGCTGAGGCAACTGTTCTTTACTTCAGGTTGAGTTGCTCCACCTCTGGGGTCCCTAGGAGTGAGGGAGGTCCCGTGTCTTGTCATCAGCACTTCCCTACATGCTGCCTTTGGAAAAAGTGAGGCTCAACGGGAGAACTCGCATTCATAGCAGGAATAACCATGCTTCTCTTAGGGCCGTGGTCAGCAAACTGCGGTTCGAGAGCCACATGCGGCTCTTTGGCCCCTTGAGTGTGGCTCTTCCACAAAATACCACGGCCTGGGCGAGTCTATGTTGAAGAAGTGGCTTTAGAAGAAGTTTTAAGTTTAAAAAGTTTGGCTCTCCAAAGAAATTTCAATCGTTGTACCGTTGATATTTGGCTCTGTGGACTGATGATTTTACCAACTGCTGTCTTAGGGGGCAAGAACTGAATCATAATTGATGTTTCCCAAAACTGGTTTTAGGACGCTCACGTAAAAGAACAACAGGCAGCCTTTTTACTCCTGGTCTTTCACTTGCTTCCTGCCTTTACTTTAAAATAGGGTCCAGAAAAAAAAAGTATTATTGCATTGCATGAATTTACATAAGTTATCTTAAAGTCCTTCTGCAAGAAGGTTTCCTTATTTTCGCACTGGACTGGGTGGAGGGTCCGTGTGGCGCTGGTTAATGCGGGAAACGTGCACAGCGCGGTCCTAACCAGCCTCCCACCCGTGTACGGAGGCCGGACCCCGGCTGACGCAGGCCGGGCAGCCCGGGGCCTCCCCCTGGAGCTCCGCTTACTCACGATCCCGCCCGCCCCCATCTCCCTCCTCCACCGCACACCTGCCGGCTCCCGGTGTGCCCTGCTCCCTTCTCTCCACCACGCCCCAGCCTACCGCTCCCCGAGGCCCCGCCTCTTCCGGCCGCCGGGCGGGCGGGCGGCAGGGACCGGCGGGCGGGGAGGGGCGGGCCGGGCCGGCGAGTTGGAGCGTCCGGGCCCGCGCCCCGGCCGGCCGGCCATGCTCATCACGCTGTGCTACCTGTACCTGTGGGCGCGCTGGGGGCGCCGGCCGGCCGCGCTCGTGCGCATCACGGTGCAGCGGCTGCGCGCCTCGCGCTGCTCCTTCACCTTCTGCGTGGCGGCCGCGCGGCCCCCGGAAGCCCGCGTGTGCCTGAGCCGCGGCGGCCGCGTCTTCTGCGTCGGCGAGAGCCAGGTGGGCGGGCCGCGGCGGGGGCGGGGCACCAGCGGAGGGCGGGGCCTGGGGCGGGGCAGCTCTGGCGCGGGAGGGGCGGGGCCTGCGGGGGACGAATCACCAGCGGTGGGGCGAGGTCTGGGGGCGGGGCCTAGGGGCGGGGCACCAGCGGAAGGGGCGGGGCACCAGTGGGGTGGGCGGGGCAAGCCGGAAGCGCCAGCCTGGGCCGCTCCTGCCTCCTCCCCGCCACGCCGCCCGCCCTGTGAGGTGGGAACCTGGGGAGAGCCCTCCGCCCAGGGCGCCTCGAAGTGCCCGGCTGGGGCCCTGCACGCGATGCCCACGGAGGGGACCAGCGGTCCGAACACTGACAGGCGCGCGGGGCGAGTTCACGGACGCCGGGCTCCTGGTTCCTGTGCGATCGCGATGGCCACTGGCACCGAAGCCCGAGAGCGCTGCCCACTGAGGCTCCCGCCGGCCTCCCTCCCCTGTGGGCTGAGTCCCGGTGAATGAATTCAGAGGAAGGCAGCCCATCTTGGCTCTGTCAGACATCGGGTGACGGAAACTCCTGCCCTCCTCTCCTGTCAGCTGTCCTTTACCAGCCGGGGCCTTTGCACAGTCTCTGCTTTTATGGCCCAGTTCTTAGCCCGGTGGCCACAAGGCAGCCGCTCTGTGGCTTACTCTCAGCAAAGGCTCTGCTCTCTGCGAAAAACACTAGTTCTTCCCGCCCGGCTGTTGGGAATGGACTTGACTCACAGTGCGGTTCAGCGCAGATTTCCATGGAAGTCACTGATACTGTTCTCATGAATATTTCAAAGTGTTTTGCTTTTCATTGGTTTCTTGCCCTTTCCTTCTGGAAAGTTGGCTCGTTTTTAGCATTAAAATGAGATTTTCTACGTGTGTAAAACCATAACACCCGAATGGGAAGATGTTACCTCAGGTCTTGAATGTTTTGTTGAGGTGAGGCTTAAGTACAGGATTGTACTGTTCTGCTAGCAAATCAAAAATACCCTTCCTCGTTAGTTGCTGTGACACAGAACACTAGTATATGCAGAACTACGTCTCAGATCGCCCAAAGAGCGCGCCTGTCTGGTACCACCTAGATCAGTGGTGGGCAAACTCATTAGTCCACAGGGCCAAATATCAACAGAACAATGATTGAAATTTCTTTCTTTTTTTAATATATTTTTTATTGATTTTTCACAGAGAGGAAAGGAGAGAGCTAGAGAGCTAGAAATGTCGATGAGAGAGAAACATCGACCAGTTGCCTCTTGCACACCCCCCACTGGGGATGTGCCCGCAACCAACGTACATGCCCCTGACCGGAATCGAACCTGGGACCTTCCAGTCCGCAGACTGACGCTCTACCACTGAGCCAAACCAGTTTCGGCTGAAATTTCTTTTGAGAGCCACAGTTTTTAAACTTAACCTTCTTCTAACGCCACTTCTTCAACATAGACTCGCCCAGGCCGGTCTTTTGTGGAAGAGCCACACTCAAGGGGCCAAAGAGCCGCATGTGGCTCTCGAGCCGCAGTTTGCCAACCTCGGACCTAGATGCAAAGGAGTGAAGTTCAGCCGAAACCAGTTTGGCTCAGCAGTAGAGCGTCTGTCTGCGAACTGAAAGGTCCCGGGTTCGATTCCGGTCAAGGGCATGTACCTTGGTTACGGGCACATCCCTGGTGAGGGGTGTGCAAGAGGCAGCTGGTCGATGTTTCTCTCTCATCGACTTTTCTAGCTCTCTATCCCTCTCCCTTACTCTCTGTAAAAAAAAAATCAATAAAATATATTAAAAAAAAAAAAGAGTTAAGTTCATTCACTATATATGGTGGACGCCTGAGGGCTTGATTCTCTCAAGGAACCCTGACTGAGAAACAAGTCCAAGTGGGGGAAATGGGGAGGTGGACTTTTCTGTTGCACTAGCTTCCACACTGATCCTTTACTTTAAAAATAACCTTCAGATGGGACATTTTGAACACTCAAAAATACTCAGAGATAAATGTCTTTAATTTTCTTGAAAAACAGTTTTACTCTTTTATTCTCACCTGAGGATATGCTTATTGACTTTAGAGAGAGAGAGGAAAGGGGGTAAGGGAAGGGGGAAGAGAGAGAAACAGATCGGTGCCTCTTAGTCGGATTCCTGTTTGGTGTTGAACCTGCAGCTTAGTGGGAGCCCTGACCCAGAATGGAACCTGCAGCCCTTGGTGGGTTCCAACCCACTGAGCCGCCCGGCCAGGACGTTCTGATTGTGAACACCTTCATGACTTGACTGGCCTTCTCCTAACTTCCATGACTGTAACCAAAGCTCTTCAGCCCTCGCCCACCGCTCCGGCCAAACCTGCCTCAGGCTTTCAAGGGGTTCCATGCCCCCAGTTCTGTGCATAGCTCACTGTGCCCCCGATCTTCAGTCAGATGTCACTGTCTCCCCCGCCGGACTAGATGGGACCAGCCTGCTCTGTGCCCTCAGAGTTTAAATCACGGTTCATCTTTCTAGTTTTTCATTTTTTATTTTATTGCACGTGCTTTTATTTTTCTTATTTTTTTTTAGATATGTTCTTAAAGCTATAATGGCTGATGGAAATGGAAGGACAGCCCTCTGGGCGAGGCTTCCATTAGCAACAGGCCTCTGACTACTAGGATGCACTTCTGAGACTCATCTTTTTTAAAAACATGTTTTTATTGATTTCAGAGAGGAAGGAAGAAGGAGAGAGAGGTAGAAACATCGATGAGAGAGAACCATCCATCGACTGCCTCCTGCACACCCTCCACTGGGGATCGAGCCTGTAACTCAGGCGTGTGCTCTGACCTGGAATTGAACCGTGACCTCCTAGTTCATGGGTCAGTGCTCATCCACTGAGCCACACTGGCTGGGCTCTGAACGTCATCTTTAAAAGTCCCTCCAAGCCCTAGCTGGTTCTGCCTGTGGACCAAAGGGTCTTCAGTTTGAGTCCAGTCAAGGGCACGTACCTCAGTTGCGGGCTCCTCCCCAGCCCAGGCCATGGTCAGGGCATGTGCAGGAGGCATGATGTGCTCCTCTCACATGGATGTTCCTCTCTGTTTCCCCTTCTCTCTTCCACTCTGAAAATCAATGAAAATATATCCTCGGGGAGGATTAACAACAGACACACGTCCCTCCAGGTTGTCATTGGAGAGCCCTCCGTGCGCTGAACCAGCGGTGGCCAAACTGTCTGACCTCCCGGCCCCCCGCCTGGTGACGCTGCTCTGAGCCAGGCACGTGGAGCTCGCAGCCAGCGGGCGCAGTGCCTCGTTTTCCCTAACCCGGTGGTTCTCAACCTTCCTGACGCCGCAGCCCTTTCACACAGCTCCTCATGTTGTGGTGACCCCCAACCATAGAATATTTTCGTTGCTCCTTCATCACTGTAATGTTGCTGCTGTCATGAATTGTAATGTAAGTATCTGTGTTTTCCGATGGTCTGAGGCTCCACAGCATCGGTTCTCAACCTGTGGGTAGTGAGTGGCTTTAGAAAGGGTGAGAACCACTGCTCTAAACAGTCAAGAGTAGTAACAACAAGCCCGGATTCAGAATAGATCAGCTGATTGGTTTCTGGAGCTGTGAAAGCTGCCCCGAGTCCTCGGGGGAGTCCTCAGCTGCTTGTCCAGCTCCGGTGCAGCCAGAACCAGGAGGAGGAGGGCTGGGAGGATACCGGCTGAGCTCACAGCCCCGGGGGTGAGCGAGGGGGGTCCGGATGTGGAGTGAAGTGGCGGTTGTGGTTTGACATTAAACCTTTGTCGGTGTTTTCCTTCTCTCCGTCCAGTCCATCGAGGACCTGAACAAATGGGCCCTGTACCTCGTTCCCCCCCTCGTCCTGGAAGCGGAGCACATCGCGTTTGTGACGGAGAGCGTGTGGGTGCGGGCGGAGGGCCCGCGGCAGTCTTCCCGGACAGAGGCCGTGAGTAGCGTGCTCACCTGCTGGCTGTAAGGGAACTGTGCCTTAGTTAGAGTGGGATTCGTTGTCTGATGAGGGCTTTTTCCTGGCCTTTCTTCCTGGATGTTTGGGGATAAATGAAAATATGTAAGTGAAATTACTTTCCCTTGTTTAAATTTTTTATTTTGTTAATCCTCACTGAAGGATATTTTCCCACTGATTTTTAGAGAGAGTGGAGGGAGGGGAGAGACAGTTGATGTGAGAGAGACACATCCATTGGCTGCTTCCCGCACAGGCTCCGACCAGGGCCAGGGATTGATCCTGCTCCTTGCCGGAATCGAACCCGGGACCCTTCAGTCCACAGGCTGATGCTCTATCCATTGGGCAAAACCACCTAGGGCCGTGGTCGGCAAACTGCGGCTCATTGAGCCATGGCTCTTTGGCCCCTTGAGTGTGGCTTTTCCACAAAATACCACGGCCGGGGCGAGTCTATTTTGAAGAAGTGGCATTAGAAGAAGTTTAGGTTTAAAAAATGTGGCTCCCCAAAGAAATTTCAATTGTTGTACTATTGATATTTGACTCTGTTGACTAATGAGTTTGCCGACCACTGGCCTAGGGCAAAACATTTCTCACCCAGCCCCCCAACTCCCCTCCCCTCTGACAGCTGACAGTCTCTTCTCTGTATCTCTGAGTTTCTTTCTGTTTTGTTTGTTAGTTTATTTTGTTGATTAGATTCCACACGTAAGTGAAATCATATGGTTCTCGTTTTTCTCTGACTGGCTTAGTTCCCCCAGCATAATCCTCTCCAGGTTTATCCGTGTTGTCAAAAAGAGTAAGTTTTCCTTTTTTTTTATTTTTTTTATGGCCTAGTAGTATTACATATGTAAATGTATCACAGCTTTTTTTTTTTTTTAAACATCTTTTCTCTTTTATTTTTAATTTTTAAACATATATTTTTATTAACTTCAGAGGGTAAGGGAGAGGGAGAGAGAAACATCAATGAGGAGAGAGAATCATTGCTCTCAGCTGCCTCCTGTATGCCCCACACTGGGGATGTGCCCACAACCAAGGTGCATGCCCTTGACTGGAATTGAACCTGGAACCCTCAGTCCGCAGGCTGATGTATGCACTGAGCCACACCGGTTAGGGCCTGATGGGCACTCTGGCTGCTTCCATCCCTGCCACTCCCACAGCAGTCAGCGCCATCCACTTCCAGCCCCAAGAACGGGGGGCCCGGGCAACAGCCAGCTTCCTCTTTAACAGCGAATCCAGAAGTTTCCAAAGTCACTTCTTGTATCACTGTAGCTGCAGGGGAGCCTGAGAAATACTTTCTGAAGCCGGACAGCTGTGGGTTCAGAGGAGCCTGGAGTCGTGTGACTACAGAGAGAAAGACAGACTAGGTATTGGGAGATAATGGCATCTCTGCCACAGGAACCCCATTTAACTTACCTTCTAAGGAAGACTTAATTAAGATCTTGCTTAATGGTGGTTTTGCTTAATTCTTCTTTTTTTTTTTTAATCCTCACTGAGGATATGTTTATTGATTTTTTATTTTTTTTTTAGAGAAAGAGGAATTGGGGGAGGGGAGAGTGAGCGAGCGAGCGAGTGAGAGAAATATTGATGTGAGAGAGAATCCCCTAGGCACCCCGACCAGGGATTGAACCTACGACCTTTTTGTTGTACAGGACGATGCTCCAACCAGCTGAGCCCTACCTGGCTGAGGTGCTTAATTCTTAATTTTCGGGGTCGGGGAGAGGTTGTTGAAAGATGCCCACCCACCAAGGGTGCGGCCCAGTTAAGCCATTTTGCCTGTGATCAGAGAGGGCGGCCTGCAGCCGGAGCTGGGTTTGTGTGGAGTAGTTTTCTGACACCTGGGCTATTTCTCCGAAGTCCCTTTCTTAGCTTGGGCTTCAGATCCTAATGAGGCGCTGCCGTCAGAGCTCGCTGTCTTCCCACGGGGTCTGCAGGCCTGTTCAGGGTGATTTTGCCTTTTGAGGGCTCTTATGAAACTATGTATTTTCACCAACTCAAAAATCATTTGAATTTGATGGTATCCTAAGATATTCAGTAGAAAATACTTAATTTAAGAGAGACTTTTAAACCTGATGAGAACTTATTCTTTCACATTAAATTTTTTTAATTCATTAAAATTTTTTTATTGATTTCTTTTCTTTCTTTCTTTCTTTTTTAGAGAGAGAGGAAGGGAGAGGGAGAGAAACATTGATGTGAGAGCATAACATCCATCAGCTGCCTCCTGCACAATCCCTGGATCAAGCCCACAACTGGGCATGTGTCCTGCCTGGGAATGGAACCAGCCACCTTCCAGTCATAGGCCAACACCTAGCCCACTGACACAGTCTGTCTGGGGCCAGTCTGCCACATTTTTAGGACGATACAGGTGTTGAAAGCGGTATCTTTTTGAATCGGGGCTCTCTCAGGTGGCGTTCACTGGTGCCTCCTGGCCCGCCATCCCCGTGGCTGTGGATGGGGTTAAGCTGATGGAGCAGAGACATCACTGCCCGCTGCCTGTCACCAGGGCAGCCAGTCTTGGCTGAGGGCAGGGTCTCTGCCCCTCCTCCTCTGAGGAACCCCTTTGCTCCTTAGCTTTGATCGCTGGGAGCGGCCTTTTCTTTCTCTGCCCTGTGTTCCCACCTCTGAGTGCAAACTGGAGGGTCCTGTTTGCCTTTCGGCCGGAGGCAAACACCTCTGGCCCCGGAGGAACAGGAGGAACAGGCCGCTCTGCTTTGATCAGAGCACCCAGCTCCGCTTGGTGGAGTTTGCATGGTCTGTGGCTCCAGACCGAGCGCCTAGAAAAAGGAAATGCACTTGGGAGAGGAAGTGGGTGGGAAACTTGATCGGGACGTGTGTATATTGTTCTCTGCTGCTTCCTGTCCATCTCTGGGCTTTGTTTACCTCCTGCTTTTCTGTGCTTTGGCCGTGGAGCTAATGATCGGCTCCTTTTACACTAAGTGCTGGCGGGGGGTGGGGGGAGGCTCTGCCTGCCACTCATGCAGCTGCTAGGTCGGCGTTGGAGCACCTGATGCTGGGCGGGTGTCCTGGCGAGCATCTCTGCTCTGCCTGCCGTGGGCTCAGGACAGATGGTTCTAGCCTCCTGCAGGAGGTGGCACTGTTCCCTCTCAGGCTCCATCCACCCTCATGTGAGGAGTCCGCTGACCACTGTGTTAACACAACAAGCCTGTAAGATCGTGGGGATGCGTCCTTCATCTCTCCCTGTTTTACGAGTGAGGAGACAGGCCTGCGAGTGCTGAGACTGGCCTGAGGACACCCAGCGACGATTTAGCTGAGTTTGACCCACACGCAGGCTCTCACACTCCAGAGCCAGGCTCCGGACCCCAGGGCTCCCCGTCTGCGTGTCCCAGTTTCACATTCTTGTATGAAAACCGGAGGGCTTCAAGGACAGCGTGGTCGTCTGCCGTCGGTCTCCCGGCCCCCTGGCGGTGGAGGTGGGAACTGGGCCGGCCGAGCTCCCTGGGGAGGCCTGGCGGTCTCTCTGCTCAGGAAGCACTGGGAGAGCTTGTGTGAAGCTGGTTCCTGGGCTGCAGTGGGAGGCCCGCTCAGGACCCCGCGGTGTTTTGTGCTCCGGGGGGCGGCCTTGTAGCTGGCGTGACCCCCGCTCTGAGAAAAGCTGGTCTGCGGGCTCCGTGGTGGATCCCTGCATAGGTGGACTTGCTGTTGACTCCGATTTCTGTTACTGAAGGGCAGGGGGATGTTTTCCAGGGCCTGGGGATGGCTCTTTCCCCCTCCAGTGCCTTGAAAGGCAGTGGAGACATGAGTGAGCCTGAAAGGAGAGGGTCAGAGTTAGAGTCTGTAAGCCCTGCTGTTGGGCTGAAATGAGAGGGTCCAGCAGCACAGCTTTGGTGTAAGAATGCGGGGTGGGGGGTGGGGTGGGGTGGGGAGGGACACGGGGAGATGAGGAGGGGGTGCCGAAGGGGAAAATGAAGACACACCGGACCTCTCTCTTTCCTCCTCCCACTTCCCCTCAGATTGTGAAGTGGTCAGACTGCTGTTTGCCACTAGCCTGCAGACCTGGGGACCCTCACCAGCTAATCGCCAAAGCCAGCGTGGATGACTTCAGCAAGCTGGGGGCGGCGTTCATGGAAGACAGACTCCAGATGGCTAATGGGCTGATACCCCGAAAGATTGTTTGTAAGGAACTTTAAACACTTTTAATTTTAACGTATATATTTAATATATTTTTGTTGATTTCAGAGAGGGAGAGAGAGATAGAAACATCAATGATGAGAGATAATCATTGATCAGCTGCCTTCTGCACGCCCCACACTGGGGATCAAGCCTGCAACCCAGGCCTGTGCCCTTGACAGGAATTGAACCCAGGATCCTTCAGTCCACAGTCGACATTCTATCCTTTGAGCCGAACCAGCTAAGGCTAACACACACACACACACACACACACACTCACACACACAATAGAGGCCCCATGCATGAAAATTCATGCAGCCTGCCCCCTCTCACAGTCTGGGAGCCCTCAAGGGATTTGTGTAAATCACCGACTTTCCCCATTTGCCACGTGCATGTGCCAAATCCCGCGTCAGGTGCACAGCAGGTGCTCGGGCCTGGATTTCAAATCAGTGATTGTACGTGATGTTCCCACCCTGAGAGCAGACACTGGACAGACCCTTCTGGCCGAGTCTGGGGAGCGCCCGGGGGTGGCCTTTCCCGGAGTGTGCGTGGACAGAGTGGAGAGGGACACCAGGAAGCTGAGCCTGGGAGTCAGCGGCCAGATGACTGCTCAGAATCTCACTGTCTCTCCTCGTCAGCGGGGGAGCCCGAGACTTTCCGATTCAGAGGGGCTGTGGAGACTCGGGTTTCACCGGAGACCACCCGGGGCCCCTCCTGGCAGGAGGGAGTACTTATCTGGCTCCAAAGGACGCCGCAGAGTTAGGGGGGTGGCCGGGGGTGCCCAGGAACCTGAGTCAGGGAACACAGGGAGCACATGGGGTTCTGAGCACAGCAGCAGGACAGGGAGCTGACTGAGTGTCTTTTCTGCCCCCGGTCAGCGGTGCACATTCAGGACTCCACTCTGCAGGAGCTTAAGGACCAGGCCACCGAGCCAGCCCTCAGCCTGCAGCCGGGCCCCGAGTCTGCCGTCCAGGGTGAGCCTGACCCACTGCAGGACTCCACGCTGCAGGAGCTTAAGGACCAGGCCACCGAGCCAGCCCTCAGCCTGCAGCCGGGCCCCGAGTCTGCCGTCCAGGGCGAGCCTGACCCGGGCGCCATGGCGCACGCTGGCAAAGACGACCAGAAGGTCCTCGGTGCAGAACGCCCACCGGGGCGAGGCGGCGGCTCCGGGCACGAGGCCGCCGGGGAGAGCAGCCAGGCAGAGTGCTGCACCGAGCTCTGCGGCCTCCACCTGTCCAGCTGCCACGAGTGCCTGGAGCTGGAGAACAGCACCATCGAGTCCATCCGGTGCGCCTCTGCCGAGGACATCCCGGATCTGCCCTACGATGCCGGCGGCGGGAACGGCGTGGCCGATGCCGGCCGCCCCGAGAGAGGAGCGGGGAGCACCAGCCTCACCGGGAAGGCCCCCAACATCCTCCTCTACGTGGGCCCCGATGCCCAGGAGGCCCCGGGCCGGCTGCGGCAGGTCCGGTCCGTCCTGGCCGACTGCGTGGACCCCGACGGCTACACGCTGTACCACCTGCCGGAGGAGAGTGCGCGCCGGGACCCGTGGCCGGACAACTGCGTGCTGCTGGTGGTGGCCGGCGGGGAGCCGGTCTCTGAGGCCGTGCACCGGCGGGTCCTGGCCTACCTGGCCCAGGGCGGGAAGGTGCTGGGCCTGGCCTCGTCCTTCGTGCCGGCCGGCTGCCAGCTGACCAGCAGGGCGGCGCTGCAGGGCACGGTGCAGAGCCTGGTCTTCTCCGGGACCGGCGGGAGCCCCGTGCGGCTCAGCGTCCTGGGCAGCGGCCGCGTGTACAAGCAGGGCCCCGGGGAACCGACTCACCTCGGCCAGCTTCATGGCTGCCTGGACGGCGCGGACCAGGACCGGCTGATCGTGCACGTGCCTGTCGGAGCGCGTGGCGGGGAGGCCGTGCTCTGCCAGGTAGGCGGCGGGGCCCGGGGTGGCCTTTGGGTACCTCGGGTGGAGAACGCGCCTGCACGGCTGCGCTCTGCCAGGCCTGAGAGTCCGCGCCCGGGCTTCGGACCTGCGGCTGGGAGTGTCCCCTGATGTGAGGAGACGGGTTAGATCAGGGCTTTTCTGTCGTGTGAGTATCTGGTCTAATCGGAATACTCGCAATGGGGGAACATTATTTATTTCAGAGAGAGAGAGAGAGGGAGAGGCAGGAACATCAGTGATAAGAGAGAATCATTGACCGGCTGCCTCCTGCACTCCCCACACTGGGGATTGTGTCCACTACCAGAATTGAACCCGGGACCCTTCAGTTCCCAGGCTGATGCTCTATCCTCTGAGCCAAACCAGCGAGGGTGGAATCTTTTTAAGGAGTTAGGGAACTGTTTCCTTTTTTGTTGTTTTAATTTTTAAAAATATGTTTTTATTGATTTCAGAGAGGAAAGAAAAGGGAGAGATAGAAACATCAGTGATGAGAGAGAATCCTGGATCTGCTGCCTCCCGCATTCCCCTCTTTCCCCCCTTATTGGGGAGACCACAACCTGGGCCTGTGCCCTGATGGGGAATTGAACTGTGATCTCCTGGTTCATAAGTCGACGCTCCATCACTGAGCTATCCAGCCGGGCTGTTGTTTTAATTTTGAATGCTGTCTCCCTCTCCAGCCCTTCGGAGTCTGTGTGGTTTTCTGACCAAACACTTTTCAAGGGGAGAGGTTTGTTTCTTTACCATTTTCCCCGCTCGTTGGTCTGTAAGAAGCATATAAACGAGGAATCTGGACCTTGGGACAGATGAATTTGGGCAACCAATCACGTTTCCTCCAGGTTGCAAACCACATGGATTTGTTTTCAGAGGCCTAATCCTTGCTCGTCTTATCTTTCTCTCTGCAAGTACGGTAACTATAGCAACTGCATTCTCAGAAAATCCACCCTAAGACCCCACTTCCTCGGGGCCGTATTTCCGTTTTGAAGAGCGGACTTCGCTGCCCCGGGCACAGGCGGGCAGGAAAATCGATTCCGCACTGTGGTGGCCCCTCACGGCGGGTCCGCTTGCCGCCGTCTAAGCTGACCCCGCTGCCGTCGTAAAACTCGATACTGCGTGCGCGGGCCTAGGACAAAAGGCAATACGATGCAGCTTCAAAAATCAGACCCGGAGGATTAGTGTCATCTGTGGTCTCAGACGACTTCCCAGCCTCTGGGACAGGGTCACCGCGCTCCCCCGGCCTGTGTTGCTACGATAGCCGAGACCAGCCAGTAAACATCCCCGCAGGCCGGTCAGCTTCCTCCGGCCTGCTGGGTTTCATCGCCTTCATCTCTGCCACAAACCCGTAATGATGTAACCCAGTAAGGGGGCCGACTTCAAGCGCAGCCACAGCTGCACCGCCGGTGGCGACCCTGTTGCCGTCCGTCACTGCGGGGAGCGGGTGACCGGCTGTGCCGGGTGGGGCTGCAGGGAGATGTGAGGCTGTGGATTTTTCTGGAATTAGAGCATCAGAGGGGCGAGGAGTTTGGCATGAAATCGAGATAAAATCTCTACCATGGATTAAGAAAACCTTTGTCTGTATATCTACATCTATACAAACAGGGTGGGCAAAAGTAGGTTTTCAGTTGTGAGTACCCAAACACAGAGTTTATTCTTGTATTATTCCTTAGTCATTATTGTGTTATATTCCATACAACCTACCTACTTTTGCCTCACCCTGTATACTTTATATTTGAGTGTATATATATATATATATATATATATGTATATTTTATTTAATTTTTTACAGAGAGGAAGGGAGAGGGAGAGAGAGTTAGAAACATTGATGAGAGAGAAACATCGATCAGCTGCCTCCTGCACAACCCTTACTGGGGATGTGCCTGTAACCAACGTACATGCCCTTGACCAGAATCGAACCTGGGACCTTTCAGTCCGCAGGCCGATTCTTTCCACTGAGCCAAACCGGTTAGGGCTGTATTTTTTTTAGTATTAATTTTGTTTAAAAATGCCAAATTTTCAGGTATGGTTGACATATTAGATTTGGATAGACAGGCAGTGGTGAGACATTTATATAACCTATGAACGATCGCTCCAGTCAGCCTAGTGCCCAGCTGACACCACACAGAAATGGAGTTTTTTCTTTGTCACCTTGTCACGGCAGCGTCTCGCCCACGGCTGTGGACATCGCTTGTGTCCTCTGAGGGGGGCTGTCCTGGGCCTGGTCCGGTGTTGGCTGCATCACTCACTAGATGAGGGGGGGTGTCCCCTCCCTCGGAACGCCTTGTCAGAATCCGCTCTGGAGGAGCTGTGGGTTCTGGAACGTTCCTCTGTAGGGAGACACAGACCGTTCATTGACAGGCGGCGCTGTTTCCATTCCTTCCTGGCTGCTTCCCGGCGGTGACGGCCACCAGGCAGAGGGGGGCTTCCCGCAGGACCCCGTGGCCACTCCTCGAGGGTCCCAGCACGCCCGTACTTCTCAGTGTTGGTCCGTCACGTACTGGTCACCAAGTTCAGTGACCTGCCCAAGCTCCCCAGACGGGTCAGCGGTGAGAGCTGGGACCTGAAAGAGTTGGATGACCGTCCTGGGTCATGTGCCCCACGGCCTCTCGGCCCTACAGCCACGGTGATCGTGGGCTCTTCTGAGTCTTCTTATTTGCTTGGCGTTGCTCTTTACATGTGCAGGCTCAAAAGCTCTATCGTGTCAGTAATCAGAAGGGTTCACAGCCACAAACACTGGCAGAGACACTGCTTTGTGAATGTTCTGAGTGCCCCCCCCCCTCATGAAGTGGTGCTTCCCCCACAGGTGCACCTGGAACTGCCTCCCGACTCCTCCGTCGTGCAGACCGAGGAAGACTTCAACCTGCTCAAGTCCAGCAACGAGAGGCGGTACGAGGTCCTGAAGGAGATCCTGCGTGCCCTCGGCCTCCGCTGTGACGCGCAGCGCGTTCCCGCCTTAACGCCGCTCCACCTGCTGCCAGCGGCCGAGGTGAGTGCTCAGCAGGGGGGTGCACCGAGGTGGCCTTCTCAAAACGGTCGCCCTGGCCCGGGCCGGTGTGGCCCAGTGGGTAGCGCGTTGGCCTACGGACCAAAGGGTCCCGGGTTTGATTCCGGTCAAATGCACGTACCTTGGTTGCGGGCTCCTCTCTAGCACAGGCCCTCGTTGGGCTTGTGCAGGAGGCAACCGATCCCTGTGTCTCTCTCACATCAGTGTTCCTCTCTGTCTTTCCCTCTCTCTCCCACTCTCCCTGAAAGTCAATGGGAAAATATTCTCGGGCAAGGATGAACAACAGCAGCAACAGGAATGGCCAGCTGTGTCCTGACGCGTCCGTGGCAGTGGGCTTCCACCCTGATTTCTATTTCTGATCTTTCTATGTGGGCCTCTGAGCAATCCCAAAGATGTCCAAGGATAGCTGATGTATTTGGCATTTGCATCACAGGGAGGGGAGGGAAGGCCGTTAGAATTTAGAGGGTGTTAAGTGTTAAAACTCTGGCCCTCCCCACGTTAAGGGGAAAAGGGCCACTGTTCATGTGCCGGGAGGTCCTGGGAAACCACAGCGTATGCACGTGGGATTAAACGTTATGCCGTTTGATTTGGACCGTTCTCCGAGAATCTCTGGCAGGGAAATTCCCCCTTTTGCTTTGTTTCTGTGCTGACGCCTGCCACCTTGTGGCCGGTCCTAGCTGCGTCTCACAGGAGAGGGCCTGAGCCTGGCTTGCCTGTGGGGGTTTTCCTGGCCTGGCGTCTGCCTGCCGTGGATGCCGTGGTTGGTATCTGGTGTGAGCGGGTGGCTAAGCCCAGGCGAGGCTTCTGGCCAAGCTGTCAGTTTCTTATTCGTTGTGGCAGACTGTTTCGTGGGTCTATGTCTGTCGCCTTCCCTAAACAGGGGAAGGGTGAGTTGAGTGACGTGACCGTGCAGATTCAGCAAACGCATTCGAGCCCAGGTGAGTCTAAACACCGCCATCACCCGCTTCCCCTGGGGAGAAGCACTCTGTCTCCTCCCCCAGCGTTCAGAGGAGGCGGCGCTCTCCGTGGATTACTCTGCCCCGCGGCAAACTTCTGTGCAGAGCAGAGCAGAGCTGTGAGCCTCCGTGGAGAAGACAGAACACCATCTGGGGCATTTAAGAGGAGGATGTTTTGTAGGAGAACTTGGGGACTAGATGAAATAGCGTACGTGGAAGTTCTGTTTAAAGAGTACAATTATTATTGTTGTTTTTAAAATAGATTTCTTTATTGGTTTCAGAGAGGAAGGGAGAGTGAGGGAGAGAGAGAGAGAAACATCAATGATGAGGGAGAATCATAGATCGTCTGTCTCCTGTACGCCCCCTACTGGGGATTGAGCCACAACTTGGGCATGCACTCTTGGCCGGAATCAAACTGGACCCTTCAGTCCACAAGCCAAAGCTCTATCCACTGAGCAAACCCGGCTAGGGCAAGAATACAGTTATTAATATTAAGATTAGATTGTTGAGAGGTTAAGTCACCGGTGTCTAGTGTTTCTAACAAGTGACCGGTGATATAGATAATGATTTTAATTTAAAAATCAATAAAGCAGCAGGTGCTTTTTTTTCATGTAAGAACATTGTTTTACTAGAGGCCCAGTGCATGAATTCGTGCACCAGTGGGGTTCCTCAGCCTGGCCTGCAGGATTGGGCCGAAACCTGCTCTCTTAAGATCTCCTGAGGTGTCCCGGATTGCAAGAGGGTGCAGGCCAGACTGAGTGACCCCACAAGTGCACAGCCGGGGCCCTGGAGGAATGCGAGAGGTTGGCCAGCCAGGGAGGGACCAGGGGAGGGCTCCAGGCCTGTCCGGCCCGTCTTGCTCAGTCCCGATCGGACTCCAGCAGCAAGCTAACCTACCGGTCGAAGCGTCTGCCCCCTGCTGGTCAGTGCACATCATAGTGAGTGGTTGAATGGCCTTAGCATATTATTAACATATTACGCTTTGCTTGGTTGAACGGACGACTGGATGACCGGACACTTAGCGTATTAAGCCTTTATTATATAGGACTAGAGTTCCGATGCACGAACTTCTTGCAGCTGCCTCAGCTTGCCTTGGCCCTCAAAGCCATGGTTTTGTCCGGAAGATCGCCCAGAAGGACATCTGGAAGGTCGTCTGGCTGTCCAGTCTAATTAGCATATTATGCTTTTAATATTATAGATTGCTTTTTCATTGCACGGGGTCCAGTCAGTTTGCACACTTTTTAATGGGTGCTCCTGAGAATTAATGGTATGACTTTTGTCTGCACCTGCATCTCAGGAAATCAGAGCTCACTGTCATTTATCTGTTTGGTGTGTTCCGTTGATAAGGCACTGCATAAATGGTCAACACTTGAATAAGAGGCAAGAAGCACCCCCTCCATCCATCTGGTGGTATAAAAAAGTATCAAATCAAACTGGTCCTCAGAGCTCCCGCCTTGTAGATGACCCCCCTACAGACCTGCCACCTGGCAGGAGGGGCAGAGCCACGTGGACACGGGACAGACCCCCTCCCTCCTTTCCTGGGCATGGAGGGCTGAGGGGACATGAGGAGGTGCCTGCCTTCCCCGGAGGCTCAGGGCCAGGGAGAAAGACAGACCAGGGCTTGCCCTTGTCCGCGCTCCCTGACCTTGCCCGGGAGTTCTGACCGTGCTGGTCTCGGGACAGGGGCCTGTAGACTCTCAGAGCAGTGGAGGAGCAGGGCACCCGGTTATCTTGCTGTGAGCAGAAGTTTGGGGCTCGCGGCTTTACCTGGGTCTCCCTTAGGGTGGGTGTGACCTGAGATACCGAAGGCTTTGGATCGGACACGTGCTCACCTGACAACACCCAGCGGGTGCTTCCTCCTCTGGCCCTTCAGCTTCTTGCCACTGCCCGGGGGCGGGGGACCATGTGCCCCTGTGGATGGTGGCCCCTGTCCACAAGCCATGGGTGGGCGATGCCTGAACCAGATTAAAGCACATGTTCGTTCTGCCGACACCTACACAGGTGCTGCACACAGACCGCAGGCCGCCAGCCCCCGGACACAGCGGACTTTGGGGCAGGGTCTTATCCATCAGCGCCCACGTCTCATCGAGTCTCCACTTGTTCTGGTTGATCTTAGATGTCTCTTCTGTGGGCTGCTCTCCCTCCCACCTGCTTCCCTCTGAGTTGATTCACTTTGGGAGCCCGAGGAACTGAGCGAGGGAGTGCGTATCCTCGTTTCTTTTTATTTTAAATATATTTTTATTGACTTTTTACAGAGGGGAAGAGAGAGGGATAGAGAGTTAGAAACATTGATGAAAGAATCATTGATCAGCTGCCTCTTGCACACCCCCTACTGGGGATGTGCCTGCAACCAAGGTACATGCCCTTGACCGGAGTCGAACCTGGGACCTTTCAGTCCGCAGGCCGATGCTCTATCCACTGAGCCACACCGGTTTCGTCAGTGTCCTCGTTTCTTAGTGTTTATTAATTTCTCCCAGAAGATTGGTCTCTGCTGTGGACGGGAAGGAAGGACTTCAGGGCTGCATAGTGTGTTTTCCTGGCACACACGTTCTGTACACGAGTGCCAAGGTGGCTGCTTGCCCGCCAAGATGGGCTTCTGGGGTGGCTGGGGGGTTTCTGCTCCTCTCTTGAGGCGGAGGCGTTTCAGAACAGCTTCTGGGCGTGTGCTGGGGCTCAGTGTTTGTAGCGACGGATGGCAGGTTGGGACTAGAATGCTTTCCATCTGCTTTGCTTTCCTGCAGCCTTCTCAGTAGGCCTCACGGATCCCCATGGAACCAAGTTGGCAGTGGAGAGGTTCCTGGCGTCCTGGCATCCTGGGGTGTGACACGCAGCCCACCCTTGGGTTCATCCCCTGCCTTCCCAGTCCATGCCTGTGCCGGCCGCTTCCTGTAAAATGCGCTGTGACCACACGGTGTCGCTGCTGAGCCAGGCTGCCGGGTGAACAGACAGACACCCTGGCCCCATAAAGTGCTTTTCTCCCTCGATCGCAGTCTGGCTCCACAGTGTAATTTAGTAGTTTTCCATGATGCTGGTGACACTTCCTCCTGGGCCCGTGAGATTATTTCAGGGTCACAGTTCATAATATTCATCTTCCATTCACCGTGGACTGTGTACAGGGTGCCGTTCCAGGATGGAATATGAAAGAACCAAACACACACACCGGCTATCTAAACAGTGTTCCTGCGTGCCAGCTGTGTTTACACAGTGTGGTGCCCAGACGCCCGCTCTTTATGGCGAACAGAGCGCAAGATTTATGAGGCACCTCGTGCTTCCACATGCCTGTGATGTGAATGAGAGAGGCCGGCACGGGATCCGAGCAGAAAAATAGGCCTGGAGTGCACTTGGCCCTCGGTACTTGCCAGGAGTGTGTTCCGAGACCCTCAGCGACACCCAAACGCCACAGAACAGCGCGATTTCCGCTGTAAAATCCAGCCAGCATGGCTTTGCGGTGTCACCGGGCGTGATCAGACCGGGCAGCCAGCTCCTGGGGGGCAGACGCCTGGTGGCCGAGCGTACCTCCTCTCTGACCGGGTCTCGCCAGTTCCTCGAACCTCCCGGGGGCGGGATTGAGATTCGGGCCTCAGCGAATTTATGATCTGTCAAAGTAAACCAGTAAAACACATGAGCACATGCACACCCCACACGTATACCCACAGAAAAAAGACTGGAAGGAAATACAGTACATGTATGGTGTATTTTTGGGTGGTGGGCTAAGAGCGATTTTAATAAGCTTTTAACACATTTGTTGTATTTTTCAAATTTTCTACAATGCACCTGTATTGTTTTTATAAAGAGCAAACCCAGTTATTAAAAATTAAAAACCAAATTACTCTATGTCAGTAGACTTTGAAGGCATTCCATAAATGGTCAACACTTGAATAAGAGGCAAGAAGTCCCATATCACCCTGGCTGGTCTGGCTTCATGGATAGAGCGATGGCCTTCGAGGACTGAAGGGTCCCGGTTTGATTCCAGTCAAGGGCACATCCCCTGGGCTGAGGGCTCGATCCCCAGGGGGGGCTGTGCAG